ATGCTGGGCTGTCCCTGGTGCATACAGATGGGTGAAGATGATCAGTAGGTGTCCTTGGAAGAATCTTTAGGTGCTCTGGGGACTCATGGGGAACAAAGGATGCTCTATGGAGCACAGGTGCACATGCAAAGAAAAAAGCTACTGCAGTATGAGATGTGGAGGATGAATTTGGAACAAATGAGTCTTCAGTCAGTCTGCTGCCTAGTGAGCAGTCTGAGTTTTATCATGTTTTCCTGTCTATTACTTTCCTATTTTATTAAAAATGGATAGTGCATGCACAGCCCACTAGACTATGAAGTTCTTATCTTTGTATGAAAGGATCTGTTGCATCCTCAGAATTTGCTTTTTAGGTAGAACATATGGAAGGTATAAAACCAGTCTACAGAAAACCATTTTTTTGTTAATCTGTTGATGCTTTCAATAAATAACATTTTAGTCTCCAAACAAAAATCCTAGAATACGATTTTATTGAAGATATTACTAAAAATAATGGGAAGTGTGTCTATTATTTGGCTTCTATGTGCAACAACTGGGTTTCTTTTGAGTTGAAAGGGAGTGCTTTCTTTCCTATAGGTTCTGTCCTCATCCATCTTCTACTGAGAAAATGTGTACAGACACCTGGGAACCAGACACCTTAAGGCATGCTAAAACAAACCAAACAAATCCAGGGCAATGCTAACTAGTAGGGAGAAAGCTTCAGGGCTTTAACTGTTTTGTTTTGATTTCCTGATTTAACTTTTCCACCAACACTAAGCAAGAGGCATTAGTTCCTGATAGGAACTATGCCCATGACAAGCTTAAGTCTAAATAAAGCGTATTTTTCTACACTTTCATTATAGCAAGAAGTCTTTGTTAGTGAAGCTGTGAGTTTCAACTTATTTCTGCCAATATAAATGAAAACTAACCAGTGAAACTTTTTTTACATCTAAAACAAGCAAAATAAAAGCCTGCTCTCCTGAAGGTGCAAAAGCAAGGACTGGAAAATTCTGCTCATGTGGGGAATGCTTCAGAGCACGATGAGCAAGAGAAGTTTGGGCTAAATATTTTGCAGCTGTAGCTACAGCAAGAACAGCCACAGCAATTCCTGATTTTTTTTTTTTTTATTTTTTAATTTTTTTTAAATTCCCCCCCCCCCATCTATTGAGCTACTGTAAAAATGCAGTATTTTTTACTGGCATCAGGAATATCTTCATCTTGAGACTCATGAAAGAAAGCAAACCACATTTTCAAATATCTGCATCCTATGTTAAGAATCTTCCTCTGCTCTCAATTATAATTTCATTATTTGAAGTCTTTGAGCATTTCAGAAGCCAGTGTTGGGGGTTTAAGGTGGTCCAGGCCATACCAGTCCATTTCCTTACAAACACCTCTGAGAAATCAGGAATACTTTCACAGCTCATTGCCATAATATATTCACTATAAATTCGTGTTGCTGAGGAGTACGGTACAAATGATATAATGGATTAAATGTATATTAAGTACTGTTTCTACTGTTTTGAAGTGGGGAAAAACAGAAGCCCAGCAAGATACCTAGCAAGGCATGCTCTGGAATACTGAGGGTTGACTCTTTTAAGTACTGAGACAGAAGGAATGAGTAACTTTGTTAATAAAAATTGAGGATAATAATAGCTCGAGTCTGGCTTGAAAATAAGGCTGTTTTCCAGGAATTTATCAAGCATCTACACACTTGTCATGGTACTCCCTGAAACACAGGTTGGCAGCCATTCCTTTTAGCCCCAAAGGGTTGGTTACATTACATCTTACTTTGGCTGAAAGCCCATAGAGGACCACGTATGTTATTCCTAGCTTGTGCTTGGATAAGCTGTAGTTGTCAACATGAGTGTTAAGATGAAATACACAGATGGCAAAGTTCTGCAAGATGATAGTAGAACTCTTTCCTCTTTTGGTCGCTATGGAAAATGGTTATTTTTAATCATGAGCATGCTGATGATATGATCTATAGCACTGTATAGACTGCAGTATCCTCATGTGCAGCAGGAGGAAGAGAGGGGTGGAGGGGAGGCTTCCACAGGCTACCCTTCTCCTGTGGCTTTTGGTCTGTCAACCTTCACACCATAGGACAGAAGGGATCATCAGTTAATGATTTATTAACATTTATTTTAGTATAGGCTCCTTTGTTAAAAGTTCTGTTTGCTGACTGGACAGTTTCTCTCTCAGCTGTGCTGCTGAGAGTTAGTATTTTTATGGTAGAGGCAGGCAGCAAACCTTCAGAAGTGTTAAGACAAACTTGCTGAGTGAGCCACAAGTCAAGAAAGCTAGGAATCTACAGTATCCAAAGACATGTGTTTCTTCACCTTGTGATCTGCAGCAGAGAA